GAGAGAGAGAGAGAGAGAGAGAGAGAGAGAGAGAGAGAGAGAGAGAGAGAGAGAGAGAGAGAGAACCCTTCTTCTCCCGAACACAGCGCACCCTGATAAGGACTGTATGTAAGCTATCTTTCCGGTCGGGTTCGGGCGGTTCGGCCAAAATGAGGGTGCGTTGTGTATGGTGGAAGACAGGACTGCCGGGGGAGGGAGGGATAGCGCGCGCATTAGAGAGAGAGAGAGAGAGATCCCGTCATGGCGACACGACATGACGGGATTTCTCTCTCTCTCTCTCTCTCTCTCTCTCTCTCTCTCTCTCTCTCTCTCTCTCATGCGCACACTCCCTCCCTCCCAGGGCAGTCCTGTCTTCCCTCATACACAACGCACCCTCATTTTGGTCGAACCCGACCGGAAAGATAGCGTGTATTCAGTCGTTATCAGGATGCGCTGTATACGGGGACGACGATCTCTCTCTCTCTCTCTCTCTTACGGGGAAGACGATCTCTCTCTCTCTCTCTCTCTCTCTCTCTCTCTCTCTCTCTCTCTCTCTCTCTCTCTCTCTCTCTCTCTCTCTCTCTGTGTGTGTGTCAGCGGAGAGCACGCCTCTCTTACAAACTAAAGACGAAAAAAAAAAGACACCTGGCTGAACGGAACCCGAAAAATAGCTCGAACGTATGCACCCTTATAGGGAATAATTCGAGCTATCTTCAGGGTTCTGTTTGTGAGAGGGGCACGCGCCTGCACATGCTCTCGCACTTATGCTTGCACGAGAGCGCACCCGCGCCACAGAGAGAGAGAGAGAGAGAGAGAGAGAGAGAGAAAGACCCTTAGGTTGGTGTTGGCAGGACGTGTGCCACGGTCCACTTCTGGCGCAGGGTCGTTTTCCAATCCAACCCCCCTCCGGCCAGAGGGCAAAAATGGGAGGACGGGTACCCGCTCCCAGGCCAGTCCACAGGAAAACGACCCGTACCGGTTCTGGTACCTCCCGTTTTTGCCAATTGTTCAACTGGCAGGCCGTCAAAGGCATCACTTACTGTTTTTTTTGCAGTTTCGAACTGCTCTCAGCCCGAAGACTCGAAGTTGCAGTGTAGTGTTATTTCCGCGAATTTGGAACTCTGCACCGGTCACAGGCGCAGTTGTCTCTTAAAATATTGAACAGATTGATTACTTAGACTACTCGATTGATTACTAAGTCTAGTCCTGGAACATCTCTAGGC